CCCCCCCCCCCCCCCCCCCCCCTCCCTGAAGACAAGGGAAGAACCATCACTTTTTCCCCTTTTGTTTTCTTTCCTTCGTGTGAGATTTTGAGACCATTAAGACTTACAGGTGACAAATTCCAAAGAAGTAGGCAGTAAGACCTAGTATTTGTATAAGAACCAAGCCACAAAGTTTGAGATTTCTGTTAATTACAGTTGGTGTTCAGTGTAATGAGTACAGTGTCATCTTTTTTTATGCATGGTCAGTGTACTGTTTAATATGGGTACTTTTCTTTACAACAAGACTTCTATCATGTTTCAGTATATTGAGCACTTTTTGTGATTGTGTAAGTCTGCCAGTGTGGCATAGTCAGAGCTTCATTGCCGTCTGTTCATTTTGTTTAGCAAAAAGAAAAATCTAGCACCTACTGCTGCTTTTCCGAGTCAGACACATCCCGCTGGTAACGAACACATTTCTATCACCATGGCTCACTGTTAAATGGAAAACATAAAACACCCCAGGGCGGCAGCATTTTTATATGTGTATATACATACAGAACGGAACATTTGGTATTGTTTCTGTTTATCAATTCAGAAAAGTAGTGAATATTTTGAGAAGTACTTATGAGCTTTAAAATTCATGTGTGCCCACATGTATGTGGGGAGGAGGCACACACAGCTTGTTGCATTGTGGATTATAAATGTAGTCTAGTTCGGAATTGTTGATTATAGTCTTGTGTCAGTTTGTTTAATTCCTGTTTTCTTTTCAGACTTTATTGCTTTATTCTGCAGTTGGTACTTTTGTTGAGTAATTTGTTTGTTCCTGATTGAAGTGGCATATCTTAACGTGTTCTGAACTGTGCAGTAATGCTGTTTATATTCATTTTTTCCTGTTTACATCACTAACATAACTTAGTGTCATTGACTTCAGTGAGTTCACATAGTGATCTGAATCACCGCTGAATTCAAACTGTATTGTTTTATAAATGTTATTTCTCTGCAGGAAAAGAAAAAGGAACTACAACTCAGTTATGAAGAGGAGGAGCGAAGGATACGAATGAAATCTGTAGGAAATATTAGGTAACGTACATTTCTGTCTGTAGTTGCTGAAGCTGTAAGAACAGTTCCTCAGTGATGTCTGAAAGTAGTGAACTGATTGTAGTGAAGAAATACAAGACACTGAGAGGAAATGTTAATTGCTTTTCACCATCCAGTATGTAAATTGCAATTTTTATTTCAAATTTTGTCTGAAAATAAGAACAGTACCTAAGGTTCCCAATTCTTGATACAGTAAAATATTCAGTATTTGTTAATTAGAATTTTGTATAATTTGAAACAATTGCCAGTCCCAATTTGATGAAATGCATCTTTATTTACTTTTTAAACCTTTTAAGAGCGCAGTGGGGCACATTTCTAGTTACCTGGTGCATGTGGTTGTCTCAATGTTATTGTACTTGTTGCCTTGCTATATCATGGTACTGTGAAAACCCACACATACAAACAAACAAGCAGCACTTCATGTCTAAAATGCTTCTGAGGAGGCTTCATAGTTTATCAGAGAATCGTTTGTAATTGAATCATCTGATTTGAATGGTGGGTTTCTTGCTGTTTGTAATACCCCTGATATTTGCGTAAAAATGTGAAATGTTGAAAATAATTTTCTCCAAGAAGCCATTTCTTTCTGTTCCACAAATTGTCAGAAATGAGTGGCAGTATTTAAAAATATTTTCTGAATGCTTCTGCCTGTATCATCACCCCACCTCACGTTCTGTTCATTAAATTATTTCTGTGTTTTAAGACTACCTAATTGAAATATTTTGTAATGTTATAGGTTTATTGGTGAGCTGTTTAAATTAGGGATGCTGACGACAAATATAATGCAGCGGTGTATTAGGCATCTCCTTACAGAAGGAGATGAGGAGTCATTGGAGTGTTTATGTAAACTGCTCACAACCATTGGAAAGGATTTGGAGAACAAGAACAACGTATGTTATTGTTCTGTTTGTTTCAATCTGTAGTTTTCATTCTTAGAGATTCTTGTCTTCTTTTGAAGAGAAGGTGTAATCAAGAATCCTTTCCCTCTTTTCCTTCCATGCTGTATGCCTGTTGATTTCTTGTAGAAAGTGATGTTACCTCCATGTAAATAATGGAAAGTGTGTGGTGTCACATCTTTATTTGTCGGAAATTAAGTCTGGCAACTGGATGGGTTACATGACCGCAAATTTGTTTTGTGAGGGTGTAGATGCATAAAATTTTGTAGTAATTCTTGTAGTCCCTTTTGATATTCTCATTTCATGCGCCACGCATTAAGGGACAAGCTGTCTTCTGTTATTCTTAGCACCTACTTTGTTTCCATTCTGTTAACATGCAGATTGCTCTTATTGATAAGATTTTGAATAGTGTTTCTTTGTTAAGTTTGGCCCCCTGGGACACCACTTTCTTCTGAAATTCCACATACTCTTCCTAGCAGTTTCACTAACCTAAGATTCGTACAGATACATTATTTGAATTTTCTCTGTATGTGTAGGATCTGTCCGAGTACTTTAGTAAAATGAAAGAGATCTCTCAGAAGAGGGGAGAAGTCTCAAGTAGAGTTCGGTTTATGCTACGGGATGTAATTGACCTACGGCAAAGCAAATGGATACCAAGAAGGAATGATTCAAACCCTAAGACTATTGACCAAATCCAAAAGGAAGCAGAAAAAGAAAGTTTGGATCAGCAATTACTACTGAATTCTACACCCCAGCCTCCTCGCCTGCAAGATGATAGAGCTTTATTAAACAGAAAGAACAGTGAGTAAAGTATTGGAGTTTGATTTTGAACATCATTACATTGATATAGGTCATGAGAGTAGTGGTGGCACCTAAATGCATGATGTGTAAGCTGAGAGAGGGGAGTTCAGGAGTAGTGAGGGTCACATCTTCAGCTGTGGTGACACGCCGATCTAAACACAGCTAGAGTTGCAAACTAAAAGCTGACACCTCTCTAGTGCGCTTCGGATGAGTCCATCTCATACGACCAAAATCAGTCCCTTGCGCAAGTGCCAGCACTTCTCGTACAACCTATACTAATTGTTTAGATATAAAATTGTTTCTGATCATATACCATATGCTTCCAGCCTCTTAAAGAATTGAATGAGAATAATGTAAGTAATGCTGTGTAGTATAGTTGTTGAGAAGTTAATAGTGTTTCATTTGGTCAAAGAATTTCTTGCTATTTATGGACTCCAAAGATTCTGTGCTGTAGCAGTCTGAAACTTTACTCTATCCTGAGCCACATCATATGTCTGAGATTGTTTTTATCGATGCCAGGTACTTCAAAGTTGTTTGTTCACTTCAAACTTGCTTGCCTGGCTTTTCTCTTTTTTCTTTACCCTTCTTCCTTCCCTCCTTACTTTATTGCGCATCATATTCTTTGGTGCTGTAGTTTTGTGTACCCAATAACAGTTGTGAATTTATGTGTTGGCATGGATTGAAGTCATAACTGATCTCCTGAGCTCGTGTGTGTATGTGCGCGTGCACACGCTCTTGAGTTCCATGGAAGTGAAAACGGAGCACTAGCAGAGTAATGTAGCAGAATATTTAGATTACATGTGTAAAAGTGCAGACAGGCATATCAAAAGTCAAGCTACTGTGCATCTTTTATTTTTATGATGCCTGTTGTTGCATGGACTATACAGATTAATCTCTTTTGAAAACATCTCTTTTACTTTATGTTTTCTATGTTTGTGGATGAGATACTAGTTTGTTATTGCTCTTTAGGAGGAGTTGGTGGCACAAGTGAGGATGGGTGGAACACAGTGGGCATAACTGGCCGGCCAGCGAGGTACACGGTGGACACCACAAAATTGAAGGTTGCCAAGGAGGAGTTTGGAATTGTACTTGGAAATGCTTTCCAGTACAGTAATTGGAGTGGCGGTGCTAATGCAAAGGGCAAGGATGCAAACAAGAGATCTGTGACAACAGGTAGTGGACCAACTTACAGCCCAAACTTTTATGCAGCACTTGATACTACCAATGAAGATGGAAAGAGGCCACCACCACCACCGCCTTCTTCAACCAGGTATAACACCGCTGTGGGTAGCATTAGTAAGGTCTTCTGGCATGGTTTGAGTTATAAGATTCAGCTTAAAAATCGGTGACATTAGTAAGAACAGTCTTGTGTCTCTTGTACGGTTGCTTTTGCCACAGTAAGTGGTGGTACATGACTGAACCTGGAAACACTTTTTTTATTCCAGTTCTCGGCCTGGTCCAGGCAAGACAACACCTTCGCCGTCCATGGAAAAAGAACGAATGTTGGCATCATTCAAAACTCCAGCAGAAGGTAGTCCATTCTCCTTTATTCATGGTATTTCAGAGAGGGAATCTATGCATTTTGCATTGTACATGTAGGTGACAATAAGCTTCGTTCCTTTGTTCACAAGTTTTTATAATCATCAGATAGGTTGCCTTCATCAAGAATGTGGTTTGTTGAGATTCATTTCCCCTGAGATGTGGCATGTGGTGACCTATTCAGATTCCATTACTGTCAGTGAAAGGGACTTTGTAAAACTTAAAATATTTACTGTGTAGTTAGTTCTAAACATTTTTGAACTTAGATAATTTGCATGTTGACATTCTTAGTGGAAAAACAGAACTTGGTCTAGAATTGTAGGAAAAGCTTTATGTTCAGAAGTTGGTACCTTTGACAATTTTCACTGCTTTCACTTTTTCTTATGGGGATTTTTTGTACATTGTTCAATTATTAAGTTGCATATATTTGTAAACTCAGTACATTCTGTGTGGTTTCTTTCTCCCTCATGGATCTTTCACCTTGTCTTCTACTTCCTAGTACAAAAGCTGTGACAGTGACATTACTGTTCATGAGAGGTCATTAAATCCTTGTGACTTGACCAGCCTGGAAAGTCGTGTGTTGCGTAACCAGCAGACTGAAAAACAATGCTTGTTCTGATTTGATGAAAACTTAATTCATAATACTTTATAAAAATAGAACTATTGTAAAATAATGACAATATTAACAAAAATGAATGTTACTGCAAACTGTGGAAAGCAGCAAATACACGTCAGCAATATCTTTGTACAAAACATTATGGTCTCTATTCTGGAATATAGGTGTGGGGGTTACACATGTATTTACTTTTGGCAGACACCTAGAAAGGGAAGAAAACTGTACCTGGCTATGTCTTGATCTTCATAGGCTTATCCTAATATGAGGAAGACCAACATTATCACATTGAAATGTTTTACAGTGAAACCTCTATCCATCATTCACTGAACTATCGTTTTCCCGGATGCATCATCTGTTTTGTTCGGTCCCTAATAGGTCCCATATAAAATAATGTTTCATTTTCTCGTTTCTATCGTTCCTAAAACTGTCATTTTATCGCATCAATCGTTCAAAAATCTTGGTCCTGGTCCACAATTTTCCCGCACTGATCGTTTATGAGAAATTATAACGAAGATTACGCAATGTTTTTAGAATTTAAAATGATCGTTTTAGAGATATATTAATATCGAAAGATGCACAGTGAGCTTGCCACATGCACGGCCGACACCATAGATGAGTCATTTGATGGTCTTCAAAGGGGGTAAGACGACGAATACAATCCCGAAGTTGCCGAGTTTTGCTGAAGCACATGCTGCATTGGTGGAAAAGTGAATTCGTTCTTTTATGCGCACAATGTGATGAGGAAAACGTTTTGAGCATGGCAAGAGCTCTGTTTCACCTAAAATTTAAAGTTATCCATTAAAGACTTTTGGCAAAAAGAAGTAACTTTGAAACAGGTTTTATGTGTATTACTTTGTGTATGCAAAACAGAAAAATGCACTATTTTAATTTTTTCGCATTTTTAATGCTTTTCCGCAACTGTCGTTTTCCCGTATTCATCGTTTTTATTTCTCTCCCCCGTCAAAAATGATGCATCGAGGTTACACTGTATTAACACACTGTTCTGTAATGAAAATGACACAGACTGGATCAACAGTAGTTGGTATAGCTTTGGATATTCAGTTTACCTAATGTGTTGCAGGAGATCGCCAGCAATCCAGAAGTGGCACATCAAGATCGTCATCTCGTGATAACTCTGCTAGAAGAGGGGGTGATGAGCCTTCTTCATTACGACCCTTTGCCCCCTCTTCCCAGTCACCCTCAGTATCAGCCAGTACTGAGGATGTTAGTGGCAGTGAAGTAATCAAGAATCCTGAGGTTTCTGTGACAGGATCCGTGCTTTCGCTTAGTGTAGAAGAGGTCCAGAAGAAGACACTTTCCCTCCTAGAAGAGTTCCTTCTTAATATTAATTACAAGGTACTTGTCCATATGGAGTCAGTGTTATAGTGTAACTAACATTAATTTGCATCTGTTGTGTTTATGAGGATAATCTTTATTATTGGTAAATGAAACTATTACTTCATTAGTTTCAAGTGAAGAAAATTTTGAGGATAAGATTGAAGTTACAATAGGTTGCATAATTTTCACACAGATTTTGAGTTACAATGGAATTGACACACGTTATGGAACCTGTTGAAAATAAATTTTTAAACTGAATGAACAGTCGAATGCAGTGTGAGCATTTTAAAAATAATAATGAAAGTAGAAGTTTGTTTTGAAGGTGGCTGTCTTCTGGGTTGTAGGTAGCGTGATATAGTCTGGTAGAAGTTTACCACCAGTTCAGAGGTACTTGCTGCCTCAATAATCAGGGTGATATGATGGTGGCAGGAAGTACCTTTGGAATATTGGTAACATTGTACCAGACTGCATGATTCAATAACCCAGAAGACTGCTATTTTCATTTACACGACTGTGAGAACCTTAAATCTGGCTATGCATTAGTTGTTGAATATTGGGTAAGTAGTGTAATATACTCCTCTTATGCCGTGCAGGAAAGCGAGACTTTTATCTTGGAGACATTTTCAACAGAGAACCTCAGCTTGTTTGTTCGCGAGAGCCTAAATGATATGCTTGAGCGTACGTCCACTGCTAGGCAAAATGTAGGGAAGTTGATGAGTCAACTTGTGAAGGCTGATGTCATTACAATTTCCGTGTACCTTTCTGGGTAAGTAAGTCTCTCGATACCAGGTTAATTTTTTTTTGGGGGGGGGGGGTGCTATATAAGTAGTATCCAGCATGTGGCCATTATATGTACAATATTCAAAGAATATTTTTGCATTGGTTGTTTTCAAAGTTTAATTAATATACAGTAAAACCCCTCTATATTGGACACTTTTAATTAGAACCGGCGAATATCCTATAATTTTATATATCCACAATACCCTATATCTTGGACACCCCTTTGTTGTAAGTTGGACAGGTTCCACCACTTACCTTCAGTGCTTATCAGGGAAATGTTTACAGTTAGTATTTTGTTGTTTTGAATTTCTAACTGAGAATTAGCTTATGGTTGAGGGTGTGAGACATTGAACACATCATTGGAATGCAGTGAAAGTGCATAGTTATTCTTTTGTTGAACCCTTCACTGGACTACAGTAGGTATTGCTGGTACAGTTGTAATTTTGTCAGTACTGTGCTTGCAACTGAGTTAAACAGTGTTAACAGAAATTGGAACGGTATGCTTTCGCTCATAATCAACCAGGAGTGGTTGAAACTTTATTCGGATTGCGACAAAAAATAGAAAGAGGATGGGCAAATTCCAAGATAAAAGCAAGAGGCAGTGTCTTGGGACGAACTTTTTTTGCAAGAAATAAGTGACATCATATGTTGAGCTAATGCTGCAAGTACAATTAAAAAAATACTTTCTGAACATTGTAACCATGAGAGTGGGTTTCAAAACATTATTATTATTGTTATTAATTCTTAATTGAAGCAAGCCTACAGTAGTTAGATTATGTAAGTAAATAGATTGCATTGTCGGTAAATGTAAAGTATTGGTGCCCTTCCCTTTGAGCTTATCCATGCAAGTTTAATTTAATTTAATTTAATTTAATTTGTAATAATTTAATTTACCCTTTTGATTTTTCTTATCAGTAATTTCCTTTTGGAGGGGAAGGGCTCCATAATACTTTAAATTACCACATTGTCATTACACCACAATTTGAAAGGATGATTTTCCCTCTATCCTGGACACCTGTAAGTTGGACACATTATCGTGGAACCGCAAGTGTCCAAGTTTGAGAGGTTTTACTGTATATACTAGTTACTATACTTCTTTAGACACATTAATAAGGAGGTGGACAGTTACTGGACCAAGATCCTCTGAATCATATATTCCATAAACTTATTTATTTTTGTATTTTATGTCATCCTAATATTACTTTCATTTTGTTTCAGGTTAAATCAATTTTTAGAATTTGCAGATGACATAGCTATAGATGTTCCAAAATTTTGGCCATACACGGCCGAGTTTATAGGTAAGTATGCCAGGTACACAGTATTGTTAACCTGGTCGTATGCTGATGATGTAGATGTGTTTTGTGAGACAGTGGAGCCAAATGCTTAAGCTTTAAATTCTATTTGAATATTGGTACAGGAGCCTTTTAAACCCATTCTACCTTTTCATGGTTGTGGAACATGCAAGTGATGAAAAAATTGTGCTGCCATATTTTACTGTGATGGCTATATAAGCTCAACAGGACTGAAGCAATTCCATGTTATTTCCCTTCCATGTAATTGTCTGCTGTATGTATATGTTATATATAAGTCGTGTCTTTTGCAGTTCCAATGTTGCTTTCTGATGCAATGTCATTTGCTGATTTTCGTGAAGTTGCTCAGCCATCACATGGCAAACTAATCGTAGAGGTTCTCCAGCTACTAGTCAAAGATAAGGTAGGTACAGATTTGTTACACAAATTTTGCAGTTCCAATATTGATTTTAAAATTATGAAACAAAAAATTTTAATTTCATTTTCAATTCAGAAATGAAATCATATTTACCTCACATCTTTGCAGGGACCAGTATGGATCCAAGAAAAATGGGAAGCAGCCAAGCTCGAGTGGACGGATTGTAGTCTTGTGGATAAGGTTGACAAATTTGTTAAACAAAATGTATGTCTTGGTTTAGTTTTTGTTTAAAAGTATGTGTGTGGGCGGGCATATAACATCTTATTTAAGTGGTGTGAGATGAGTTGCTATATATGTATACTTATTTCACTATTTGATAACCTCACATTATTGCCACTTTGTTGCACCATTAATATTAAGACTAATTTCCTGTCCTTCACATATCCTTATCTCCTTCCCTCTTTCTCTGGATATTTTTTATTTGATGAATTTTGCCTGTTTTAATTATGCTGTGTAAGGCAGGATTCACTCCAAAGCAAAGTGATGCATGATGTCAGTCACATAAATAACATGCATTATAGTGTGTGTGGGTTTTTTTTTATTGAAGCAATAGAGAGACTGCTTTTAAAATTATCACATGATAGCAGGCAGTACATTTCAAAATTTCTGTTATATTGGTGAACAGGGCATATTAACCTATGGGCAGGATTTGTGTTGCCTTATTGCATCATTGAATGAACCATCTTCTGTGTAGCGCATCATGATAGTCAGTAAACATGCTAATGAAGAACGGTTCATTCAGATTATAGAATATCCAGTATGTAGTGATCATTTCCTTCAGCATTTTCTGTACTAGCGATATGAATTCTATGTTTGTGTTGAGGTGGTATATCACTTTTCTCCATTTCCTTGTTTCAGTGTGAATTCTGCCTAATGGTTTGAGTGATTGAAAACTGATGCTTACATTTAAATAAATTACATGTAATTAGAATGCTGTGATGATTTGACTGTCTTGCCAGACTGGAGTTTCTGAATAGTTTTTTATTTGATTGTGTTTGAAATCTGAGCAAATCTGTAGTAGTCACGTGAAAGTAACTTCAAATTGAATGAATATGACACACATTGCGTCTGTTACAGATGTTGGAATACAAATCAGATGGTGCAATGTCAGCCCCATCTTCTGCTTCCAGCACTCCGCTTAGCTGGAACAGTGTTCAACAAAAACTTGAGCAGTTCCTAAAACCGGATAAGGCCTCACCCTCTTCCTTTGATCAAATCTGTGATTGGATAAGTGTAAGTAGCATTATTGTGCATTGCGGTATGGAAATGTGTAGGAGAATTTCTTGATCTTGAATTGTGTTATGTGGCATGCAAATGTTCGTGATCGTCTGGAAGAGCATCACAGTTTTGTAAGTTTGTGTTATGTTTATTCAACAGGTAAACGTAGGTGACCGAGTAAAAGAGCCTCAGTTTATTCGTGCCTTGATGACTGCAATCTGCCAAAGTGCAATTGAAAGTAAGTGTAGTTGGTAATATTTTGCTTAAATACAAAACCTGAAGTCTGAAGGGATGTTTAAAGTAAAATGGAGTGATGATTGCCTCTTTATGTAAGTTATTATATCTTGTGAAGATATTATCCATAGTAGGTTTCATCATACCTCTTCTTCTTCTTCTTCCTCCTTGGCTTTACAACCCAGTCGTGGGTCTTCACCGCCTTTTCGGTGGTTTCCTAGTCTTTGAAGCGTGCATTTGTGACTAGTGAGTAACCAGCCCACTGCCTCTGCGCAATTTCTACTCAATCCTGATTTGACTACTGGAGCCATCTCAGAATAAATTTGTTTAGAAAAATATTGTTCAGAAAGGCTAGAGTACTTTGTGTGTGTGCAGGTCAGAAGACAACATTGAAGCTAAATGAGGATCGTTTCCGGCAGAACCAAAAGCTGGTGCTGAAGTATGTTGACAACAAAGAGGAACTAGAGCTGCAGTGCTTGTATGCAGTTCAGTCCCTCATTCACAAGCTGGAGCACCCACAAGGTAGACTACATTACAAAACTGTTCATATTAATTAATTGACAATGAAGTGTGTGGAGCATTGCTGTTAACTGCAGTCTACAGCAACGTGTGGCTAAGTTTATGTGGTTCAGTATACGGTATATCGTTTATTTCAGTCGCTGTTTAGAAGCAGCTAGTAATGTAGCTGATTTCTTACTTCGGTTTAACTCGGCTTCGTGCATTACACCTGTTGAGCACTTTTCATAGTGATGTCACATGTATACATGCAAAGTGTGTTACGGTTCAGTGTTTCTTGTGGCATGCTTGATGCCATATGTTACAATTTTTTTTCTTATGCTAAGATGAGTAGTATGAAAGGGAGGTGTTTTATTGGGGTTCTTACCAGAGGAATGCTTTTTCTAGATGAGAAATTGATAACATGATTATTATTGTGTGGAATGGGCACTAACTATTGTTCTTGCAGGTTTACTATGCCAGATATTCCAGGTGCTTTGGGATGATGGCACAATATCAGACGATTCATTTATTGCTTGGGAAGCAAGTGCAGACCCAGCTGAACAGCCAGGTAAAGCTGTGGCAGTCAAATCACTAACAACATTCTTCACAGCCCTTGGTGAGGGTGAGGAGGATAGCAGTTGTGAAGAGTCATGAGCCAGGCTTCGTGTAGTACCTGGAACCAATGTGTGAAAGAAATGAGAGCCAGTGATGCGCCTTATAGCAGCCTTATGTGGCCCACTGTTCTATTGATTGTGCATCTCTTATAGTCTCTTGACATTCATGCTGCTCAAGGTAAAGACTTGAGCTTGACTCAAATGATTCTTTCAGAACTATAAAGGTGAAAGAGCATAACAAAGAAGATAATGAAAATTGTGTATAATACAATTAATATTATATTATTGCTTACTATATATAGCGTTGTTTTTGTTGAGCGAGTGACTGCATT